TTCGTGGCATCTTGAGTTTGTCGACTCGTGTGTGGACGGGCGTTGTCTTGGTGCGAAATTGCTTTTTTTCCTGACCAAACTCGTGACACCCGTGCTCTAAGTTTTCTCAGGATCTCAATATATCGTTCAGAGCTGATGGTGGAACCCTGTTCCAAAAATTCCATATGAACAAGACCATTGCAGTCCCAAAACATTGTCATAAGCACTTTCTTTGCAGATGAAACAACTTTGAACTCTTGGGGCTAGGTGAGCCAGTGTGCCTGTATTCTTTCGATTGTCTTTTGTTTTCTGTGTCATAGTGGTGTACCCAAGTCTCGTCTCTTGTGACTATACGGCGTAAGAAAGCTTCATCTTCATCAGTATAACGAGTCAGGAATTCATCACTAACTTGACTTCGGTTTAATTTCAGCTCGGGTGACAACATGTGGGGAACCCACCGTTCACACACTATCCTAGCCTGTAACCTAACACATCATGGATAATATACTGAGCACTCGCTACAGAAATCCCTAGCATTTCACTGACATCTCTTACTTTGATCCGCCGGTTTGCTTGGATGATCTCGTTCTCTCTCTCCTGGTGTTGAACATCACTGGCAGAGTTAAGACGACCACAACGAGCTTGGTCACGCAAATCTGTCTCTGCTGAACTTGTTTCAGCGAACTCCTTTGCCCATCTTCGATTAGTACTTACATCTACACATGCTTCACCATAGACAAGCTTCATTCGCCTATGAATATCAATGGGTGCAGCTCCCTCTGCAGTAAGGAACCCAATAACAGCTATTTGTTTTAAGAGCACATTCATAGGTTTGCTTGACGCCATTTTCTCGGCGACAATTTCTCTGGCTTCTATAATGTAAACAGTAATAGCATAAAGATGTGACATCATAGCATCATCCTGTTTTTTGTGTGTGAGAGTATACATATTGAAAGTCAATTGTGTACAAAGTCCTTGAAAATATCTAAAAATTGTTTAGAAGTTATTGGAGAGGAGGCAAAACTTTTTGAACGACCCTGGTATAATACTCCCTGAAAGAACCTATCCTCTCCACAGACCCCTCCAAACCCCACTTCCACTCCAAACCGCACGTTGTAGTTTCTAGTAAATACTAAAATAATGAATTACTGTAATACTATTAAAATATTTTACTCCCTCTCAGGTATGAACGTATGATGAAGCTCAAAGTGGAAAACCCTAACCTCAAAATCCTGCTGGCAGTCGGAGGCTGGACCATGAGTTCTCCGCCGTTCGCCCGTATGGTGGCTACACCACAGACCAGGTAATACCAATTGCTCTCTAAACACAAGTTTCCTCAAACCACTATCTATTATATATTTGGAAAACTTGGAAACACAGGTGTCACTTTTCCCTTAAAACTACGACAGCTACAGAGTTGATTGGCAAGTACCTGCAAAAAGATAGATAGGTAGGTCCCCATGATGGAGCTCGATTTTGTATTTATTCATTTTCTGAATTTAGGAAAATATATTTGACAAAAAGTTCCCGTCCTTCTTTGGCTTTTGTGATTATTCCACTGAGAAACGAAACAAATCTATGTAGCTGTTCTTCGCAGCGGAAGTGCCGTACGTGATATTTCGCGAGGCGCATTTTGTTTTGAGAGTATAGATCTAGACCTTCTAATTTTTTGCATCTCAAGATTCATTGCTCCTTTCCCGTAGAGTGTAAATATAGTATTGCCATTGAATTTCAGTTGAGGTAAATGCACCGACCATTCCATTCTTCGAAAGGGCCCCGGCTAGTTTGATATGGTTTGATTAGATTTTTAGACCGGCACTTGCAACACAATTAGATCATTATAAGCGCGAAAGATTAGAGGTGTTACAAGAGAATGACAAACACAAACGAGAAGGAGAGATAGAGACAATAGATGCTTGATAGGATAGAAGGAGCAAACCACACCAGGGCATCTTCCAACCTCCATCCAGCAAACGGTTTGATACACTTAAGGACTTTAATAATTTTCTTCGTGGAGGGCATCATATACCATTATGGTACAGTTTGAATAAATCTTTCAAAATCAAATTAATATGGTGGACTATCAAGGTCACGTTCGGGTCAATTTGAAGGAAACCATGGTCAACAGTCAATCAGAACACTAAGTACTTGTGTAGGTGTCACAGGGCATTGTGGCGTTAGATCTTTTCTTTGCATGCGCGCGAAAAGCGATCGGCCCAAATGGACTCCCGAGTTGCACCTGTGTAAATCAAATTAAAAATATATTTATGTGGAATCGTGGTAAAATCAGACGCTCGTCAAAGTGTTGAAATCGAATGGAGCGACGTTTTTCCGCCTCCTGGGACTTTTTAAAATCGATTTCGTAACTGATGCCCATTTTAAAAATATATAAACGATACGAATGTTACCTAAAAACATTGACCAAAAGCATAAAAAAGTAAATTTGCCTCCAAACTTTAGTTATCATTTTTTCACTAATTTTACCTTTGACACAGGGGCGGCCCCCACCCTTTCAGCCCCAAATATCTCGACAAATATTCCACGTGGATGGGTAATTTTATATTCCGAAGAAGACAAATGAACAAGCTTTAAGGCGATACCTATGACGACATTTGTCCAGAAAATTGAGAGCGCCTGATTCCACCGTGATATGTGGCGCACTGGTCCAGCACCAGATCATGTAGATCGGGACTATTGATTGACAAATTTCTATCCTTTTAATTAAAAGATTTTTTGGGGAAATCTTGATGTCAAATCGAAGTTCCAGCGTACATTTTCTCAAAAGGACGATGAAGCCACACCGAATATAATGATGGGTCACCGGTGGTAGTTTTATTCTCAAAATTACATTCTTTTAGGGGGGGTTCTTTGTTTCGTTTTGTTGTTTCTCTCTCTGTCTCTCTCTCTCTCTGTCTCT